TAATGAGTGCAAACACAATTCCTTTTTTGTAAAGCCATATTGACTGCTCATGTTATGGTTTTATAATTGTATTGGTAAGACTTCCTTGATAATGGGGTCCAACATTTTCGCAATAATCACAGGTAGGTCCCAGCTCACAAATTGTTTCATTCATATGTCGATTTGTTTGCAAGTCCAGGAACAATGCAGTACAATATAAAATAGCGTTTCACAAGGTGGGAGGTGGTGCAGCACAGATTCATCAGAAAGACACTGACCAAAGGGTTCAATTATGCGGACAGGTTGTATCATCCAGTTGTATTTTTTCAGTATATAGTATTGTGACCTATTTGAACTGTACAAGATAATCAATAGTATGGAGAGAAACTATTTTCTGAGTGGGGAAATTAGAACAAGATGGTATAACTGGAAAAACAGAACTGTGCCATTCACTGGTGATGTCAGGTAGCATTTGCTCATAGAAAGAGCACTAGGTAACAAACTCTCTTCCAAAAATCTGTTGAATCTTGGTGCCAATTGAACATTTCAAAATCAATGCTAGATTATATTAGGGTTTCTGGAATTATGGAAGTTGATGTCAAGATCAGCCACGACCTAAGTGAATGATGGAACAGGCTTGAGGGATTGAATAGTCTTTAACTGTACCTGAGGTCCTATGTTGTAGCACTATCACATAAGAAAATACAAACCTGTCTCAATTTTAACTCAAACCTTTGCCCGTAAAAGCATAATAAAGGCTGCATTAAATATAAAGCACACAGTCCATACATTGTTAGAAAGTTCAAAAATGCATAATAAGTAAAATGCAATTCTATACCTCTCAGCATCACTGTCTTCCATGTGCATCACTAAAAAAGAATAAATCATTGGTTAACTCATAACAGATCATTCGATCAACTAAATCACGAACGGAGGCATGCTATGTTGCCATTTCACCCAGCACATCGGAGACAGAGTATCTCAGGCTCCTTATTTGTAGATATGGACAGCAAGTAAAGCAAGTTTTCCCCCAAGGTTCAAAAACAGCCTTTAGTGAAATAATTGAAGGGAGAGGCTTCTTCCAAAAGCAACCATTTTTAATGTAATCAAAGTCTCAAGGTGTTTCACAGGAGCATTAGAAAACAAAAATATGACACCAAGCTACATAAGGAGATATTAAGTCAGATGATCAAAAACGTAACCAAATGTGTAGTTTTAAGATATGTCTTAAAGGACAAGAAGCAAAGCAATGTGGCAGAGAGGTATGATGAGGGAATCTCAGTGCTCAGGATCTAGGCAAATACAAGTCACAAATCGTGAAATAATAATAATTTGGAATGCACAAAGAGGCTAGATTTACAGGAGTACTGACGTCCAAGGGTTGTGGATCTAGCTTTTACACAAATAGGGAGAGGAGGTCATGTCAGACTTTGAAAACAATGATGAGAGTTTTAAACTCAAGATGCTGCTTCGCTAGGAACCTAGTTCTGTACTGTCCAACAGAGATCACAACAGCACCAAGGATACATAAGCACGCAGCTGTTTTAACCAAAATCAGCTTTACAATTTGGGTAGCAGTACTTCATGGATGTTCAATTACAGATAAATCATCATTCAATAACCAAGCAAGCAAAGCTCTTAATGAATCAACACTTGCATTCTCTGTTTTGTTTTGTCATCTTGCTAACAGACAAAACTAATATGTTGAAATCAAACTCAATTAGCTGTGACCTCTCATTTTTTATTTCATCAAATATATTTATAGCTGCACCTGGACTCAAAATTGGACACATGGCTCATAGCTAATATAAATGCCAAATAGATTTGGTTTTACAAGAGCAAAATACAGCAAATGCTGGAAATCTAAGACAAACATAGAAGATGCTGAAACACTGAGCAAGATAGATAGCATCTACAAACAGAAGTTATTATTTCAGATCGATAACCTTCCATCAGAACTAGGAAATTAGAAATGTAGTTGATCTTAAGGTGGTGAAATTGGGTGGAGTCAGGCAAAGAATAAAAGAGAATGTCTGTGATAGGGTGGAATATAGGCAAAATTATATGAGAGAGGATTTAATCATGAAGTAACAATACAGAAGATGTGTTAAGCAAAGGTGTGAATGGCAGAATGAATAACTGCTCCTAAGTAAAACCAAGGGACAAGCAAGGATAACATGGAAATATGCAGAGAAAAATAAACAAGTATACACAGAATACCATTTGAGATTGTCAACCTCAATGTCAAGTCTGCAAAGTGCCTAATTAACAAATGAGGTACTGCTTCTCCAGCTTACATAGAGTTTCATTGGAAGACTGCAGCAGACCAAAGTCAGAGACACTCTCATGTCTCACTGGGGTAATGAGTTGGAAATTAAGCCTTGTAACGTCTGGAGTAATCACAAAAATTAAAGATTCTACAGAAGCATGCAAAACTCCCCAATTTATCTTCAGGTCCAGGGTGACAAAGCATAAATGAGGCTCATGTACTTAAGAAGAATTACTATTTAGACAAGTAATTAGACTCTAGCTATAAGTAAGCAATTATGAACCACCATAATTACCAACCATCGGCATGTAACTCTACTAGTTAAAACTGTAACAACTTTGTAAAACTCCCCGACACACACACATATATACAGACGGGGGAAAAAAAGCCAGGGGTGTTATGAACAGATAGAGAGACTGGGAAGGCAGTTCAGGGCTACTGATCAAAATGCTGTTTCTTAGCCTTATTTTTCCAGATGCCCTTGTTTGTTTGTTGCAGGTGCAGGGAGGCAGATTCAAATTAATAAACTGAAAGTTTTAGAAGTTAAGAGTCACGATTTACACTAACTGCTGAGGGGAAAAATAATCCAGTTTTTCTCAGACTTAAAGTAGCTTTTGCTGTAGAGAACAAAGATAGCTCCTGAGATGGTGGCGATATGAAAACTTTCATTCACAGCCCTAAGTTTTTCAGCTACCCCAGTAGTTGCTGCAGGCTGAAAGCCTTTGTCATTGATAATCCACAGATCAATTAGCTACTTGTTGCCAACCAAAGTTCCATCTGTTCATAACCCTTCGGCTCCAGCTCATCTGCAAACCCAAGTCAACTACAACTGTAACCAGCAGCTGTGTTTACAAGAAGAATCAGGTTACTTGCTTTCAAAATATGCAATCTTCCATCAATCCTTGAAACAGTTCTTTTCTCAATTCAGTCCACATTTAAAAATACTAAAAAAAAAAGACAGTTTTATACATGCCTTTGCCATTAAAGAAAAATGAAATGCCATTTTAAAAATGCTTCATTATTTCATTACAAATATGTGACACGTAACAAAACTTGAGATTTACATCCATTCATTCTTCCTTGCTTCTTTCCCCCACTTATTCAATCTTACACAAACTTAGAATTTCTCAAACTAACTTATTCCAAAATTCTACACTCATAGCAATTCATCTGCAGTTACCTTATAATTCCCAGCAATGTGAATAACCTTTACATTAAATGGCTGCAATAGAGGATTTCATTTGAATAGTCTTGCATTCCAAGTTTTAAAGTTTTCAATGAAGGCCTGTGGACTATGAACCATTAAATTAGCATCTCCTTGTTATCACATCAGACAGAGACTTCAAAGTATTGCAGAACCAATAACAAGTCTATTTCCCATCAGGAGAATATGTCATCTGGTATTGGTTTACTTTCTTAGAGAAGTACCCCACTGGCTTCTCCACACAATTCATCATCCTGCAACAAGACAGCACTTGTACTCAAGTCACTAGTATCGATTGCCATTTTGAACAGTCTTGAAAAATTAGGGTGGTCAACGTGACTAATTTTTTTTTTTTTTTAAGATTGCCTTCAATTTCCCAAGGTTGTTTGGCATTCAGCTGACCATGCCACCTTTGCTGGTTTCTTTCACAAATTTGGTAAAGGTACAACTATTATACTAAAATTACGCATGAATTTCTGAGAAAACTGACGGAAGCAAAACGCTCATAATTTCTTAGATAACAAGGTGTAGAGCTGGATGAACACAGCAGGCCAAGCAGCATCAGAGGAGCAGGAAAGCTGATGTTTCAGAATTTCTTATTTAGTTTTGATACAGAGAATTCTATTAGAGCCTTCACTTTCACTGTCCTTGGTAATACTTGTCCTTATCCTACAATACGTCCTAGGCAAGTTAGTCTTGCTTTTCTGAATTCACATGTGGCCAAATTTCTTATTAAGCCAGCCAACGGTAATCACTTAAACCGGTCTTCGAATTGTCTCACATGAGCTCTCCATATGCTACTACATACTACATCTAAATAAACTGAATTACAAACCGTAGCTATGTTACTCAGACCATTGAGTTTTGGAATTTGGATGTCTTGTTGAGGTTGTAAAGGATGTTGGTGAGGCCACTTTTGGAGTTCTATCTACAGTTCTGGTTGCCCTACTGTAAGAAGGAGATTACTAAATTGGAGTGTGTTCAGAAAAGATTTACCAGGATGTTGCCGGGACTGGAGGGATTGCATTATAAAGAGAGGCTGGATAGGCTGGGATTTTTTTCACTGGAGCATCGGAGATGGAGGGTGACTTCATAGAGGTTTATAAAATCACGAGTGAATAGCAAAGGTCTTTTCCGTAGGGTGTAGGGTGGGGGAGTTCAAAACTAGGGGCATATTTTTAAGGTGACAAGAGGAAGTTTTAAAAAAGGACCCGAGGGGCAACTTTTTCCACACAGACTGTGGCTTGTAAGTAGATTGAACTGCCAGAGGAAGTGGTAGATGCAGGGTACAGTTACAACATTTAAAGACATTAGGATAGTATATGAAAGGTTTAGAGAATCATAGAGATATACAGCACAGAAACAGACCCTTCAGTCCAACTTGTCCATGCCAACTAGATATCCTAAATAAATCAAGTCCCATTTGCTAGCATTTGGCTCCTATCCCTCTCAACCCTTCCTATTCACATATCCATCCAGATGCCTTTTAAATGTTGTAATTGTACCAGCCTCCACCACTCCCTCTGGCAGACTTGGGCTGAACACAGGCAAGTGGGACTAGTTTAGTTTGGGAAACTTGGTCAGCATGGACAAGTTGGATCAAAGAATCTGTTGCCATGCTGTATGATTCTCCGACTCATAGGCCTCTGTAATCTAACTGGGGCATTCTTAAACCCAAATGCTTAAACCCACTTAACTTTGATGTAAACCATTTGGGATAAAAGTTGATATTTCTTTGACCTTTAATGTCAATGGCACTTGTCAGTACCTTTTCAACAGATCAATCTAAGAAAGGAATGAGGCACTGCTAACCCTATCAATAAAGTCTTCCAACTGTGGAAACAAGTACAAATCTGCCCTTATGTCACATTCACCTTTATATAATCTATACAATGACTAGTTGATGCGCCTGGTTTAGGAACTAACATAAGGGGTGAACTCCACCTGCTTTGACTAGGTTCAATGAAGTCATTTTCCAATATGTACCAAATCTGTTTCCACTTGACCTTACTTTTCTGAACATGTTCTGAAAAAAAAAAAATCAATCCTGACTATCCCACTTCCATATCATGTCTAGCTAATGCAGGACATGCAGGTTTATCTCTACAGATTACCTCATACTTCCTCAGTTATCCTACAAGATACTTCCATTGCCCTTTTTCTAAAAATAAAGAGTGTGTCTAATTGTCTCAATACTTGTGTTAGTTGAACTGTAGGAGGTTTACTTTGAGAACTGTCAAGCCTCTTCCTACCTGTCTCTCATTACCTCTTTCATCTTTCACTACTCAGCACAAGAAAGCTAACAGAATATTATGTTTTATTGTGATAAGAATCAAATGCAGGAAAAGGGAGGTTATGCTTCAGAGAATTGGTAAGTCCGCACCTGGAGTTCTATGAAATTAACCATAGAAGGCACATCTTTTTAAAGATTGAAAACCACATTGCCACATCAATCTTCAAGCCACATTCAGTTTCCGAATTACAATTACCATATAGCAATTAGCTCATATTTTGTGATTCTGTTTTTTTAAATTTAGCCCATAATTACCAACACTCCTTAGGCAGAATCTTGTTTTGGCAGCAGCAATGTCATTGGTTTATATGGACAACAGTAACCTCCTTTCTTTTACTGCTTTCTTAATATATCCTTTCACCTACAACTATTTATACACATTTAACCCCAATGCTTCTGTTGCACCTTTAGAATTGCGTTTTTTGAAAAAACGCCTCTCCTTATCAAAATGTACTACTTTGCTCTTCTTTGTATTAAACTTCTTCTGCATTTGTTTTCTTGTAGAAACATAGAAAATAAGGGGAGAAGTAGGCCATTCAGCTCTTCAAGCTGGCTGCGCCATTTAGTATGACCATGGCTGATTATCCAACTCAGTAGCCTGCTCCCGTGTTCTCTCCATATCTTTTGATTCCTTCAGCCCTAAGAACTATACCTAACTCCTCCTTATCTGGCCTCAACACTTGTGTGGCAGAGAATTCCACAGGGCTCACCATTTTTTGAGTGAAGAAATTTCTCACCTCAGTTCTAAATGACCTACTCCATACCTTGAAACTGTGACCCCTGGTTTTGGACTACTCGGTCAGTCATAAGGAATATTCTTCCTGTGTTTAACCAGTCTAGTCCTGTTAGAATTATATAGATTTCTCTGAGATCCTGCTTCATTTTTCTAAATTCCAGTGAACACAGTCCTAACCAATCCAGTCTCTCTTCATTTGAAAGTCCTGCCACTCTAGGAATCGGTCTGGTAAAACTTGGTTGCATTCCCTACATAGCCCAAACATTCTCCTTCAGAGAAGGACACCATAACTGCACATAATACTCCTGGTGTGGTCCGACCAAGGCCCTGGACAATTGCACCGAGATATGGAACATAGAACAGTACAACACAGTACAGGCCCTTTGGCCCACGAAGTTGTGCCGAACTTTTACCCTAATTCTAAGGTCTATCTAACCTCCACCCCTACCTTATATTATCATCCATATGCCTATCTCATAGCTGCTTAAATGCCCCTAATGAGGCCAGCTCCACTACCCTCTCTGGCAATGCATTCCATGCCCCAACCACTCTCTGAGTAAAGAGCCTACCTCTGACGTCTCCCCTACATCTACCTCCACTCACTTTAAAACTATGCCCCGTCATAATAGCTACCTCCACCCTAGGAAAAGGTCTCTGGCTGTCCAATCCATCTATACCTCTGATCATTTTGTACACCTCTATCAAGTCACCTCTCATCCTTCGTCGTTCTAAAGAGAAAAGCCCCAGCTCTCAACCGTTCCTCGTAAGACCTTCCCTCCATTCCAGGCAACATCCTGGTAAATCTCCTCTGCACTTTTTCCAACGCTGCCACATCTTTCCCGTAATGAGGCGACCAGAACCGGACACAATACTCCAGATGTGGCCGAACCAGGCTTTTGAATAGCTGGAGTATAACTTCACGGCTCTTGAACTCAATCCCTCTATTAATGAAAGCTAACACACCATACGCCTTCTTAACAACTCTATCCACCTGGGTGGCAGCTTTCAGGGAACTGTGGACATGAACACCGAGATCCCTCTGCTCCTCCACACTGCCAAGAATCTTTCTGTTAACCCTGTATTCTGCTTTCAAGTTTGTCGTTCCAAAATGGATCACCTCACACTTTTCAGGGTTAAATGCCATCTGCCACTTCTCAGCCCAGCTCTGCATCCTATCAATGTCCCTTTGTAACCTAGAACAGCCCTCCACACTATCCACAACTCAACTGACCTTCGTATTGTCCGTGAACTTACTAATCTACCCTTCCACTCCTACATCCAAATCATTTACAAAAGTCACAAATAGAAGAGGACCCAGAACAGATCCTTGTGGTACACTACTTGTAACTGAGCACCATGTTGAATATATTCCGTCCACTACTACCCGTTGTCTTCTAAGGGTCAGCCAATTCTGAATCCAATCTGCCACATTTCCCTGTATCCCATGCCTCCTTACCTTCTGCATATCCCTGCTCCTGTACTAAAAACTTAATAGTATGAAGAGAAACATACCATTTGCCTTCTTTGCCTGCTGCGTCTCTATGTTTACTTTCCGTAACTGATCAATAAGGACGCCGAGTCTCAGTGCACCTCCCTATCCCAATCTATTACCTTTCAGATAATCATCTGATTTTGCTACCAAAGTGGTAACCTCACAATTGTCCACATTATATTTCATCTGCCATGCATTTGCCCACTGATTCAACTTGTCCAAATCACTGGAACATCTCTACATTCTCCTCACAGTTCACCCTCTCACCTAACTTTGTGTTATCTGGTAATTTGGAGATATTACTTTCACTTCCCACAGATAAATCAATAGTATGTGAAAATAGCTGGAGTCCAAGCACTGATCTCTGCAGTATCAGTCACTGGCTGCCACATGGAGAAAGATCCATTTATTCCTACTCTTTCTTTCCTGGCTTCCAACCAGTTTTCTATTCCTGTTCATAGACTACACCCAATCTCATGCGCTTTAATTTTACATGTTAATCTCTTATGTGGGACTTTATCAAAAGTCTTCTCAAAGTCCAAATAAGCCACATCCACTGGCTCCTTCTTATCAAATGTACTTAGTTTGATCTCTGGAAAATTTCAATATATTTGTCAAGCATGATTTCCTTTTCGTAAATCCATGTTGACTCTGTCCAGTCCTGTCACTTTTGCCCCAAGGTGCTCTGCTTTACTAAATCTTTTGTAATAGACTCTAGCATTATTGAAACTACCAATGTCAGGGCAACCAGTCTTTAATTCTTCGTTTTCTCTCTACTTCCTTTTTAAACAGTGGGGTTACATTAGCTAGCTTCCAATCCATTGGAACTGTTCCAGCGTCTATCGAATCTTGAAAGATGATCACCATTGTATCCAATATTTGAAGGGCAACTTTCTAAATAGTCTGGGATACACATTACCAGGACCCGGAGATTTATCGATCCTTAATCCCAACTTCCCTACTAATACTGATTTCCTCCAATTCCACCCTCTCACTAGTCTCTGCATTCCCCAGCATTTGTGCCATCCTTTTTGAAGACAGGCCAAAATATGTATTTTAGTTGGTCTGATATCTCTTTGTTCCCAATTATTACTTCCCCTATTTCTAACTATAAGGGACCTACATTTGAGTTCACTAAGCTTTTTCTCTTCACATATGAAAGTTTTTACATTTCCCATAGCTTACTATTATATTCTATTGCTCCCTCTTAACCAATCCCTTTGTCCTCCTTTGCTGAAATTTAAACTGCTGGCAATCCACAGGTCTGCTTTTTTTTTTAGGGCAATTTGTACAACTCTTCCTCGGAACTATTGCTGTCCTTAATTTCACCTGTTAGCTGTGGCTGAATCACCTTTCTCATTTTTTGTGCCAGACAGGGATGAATAATTATTGCAGTTCCTCTATGCTATCTTTCAATGTTTGCTATTGCCTGATCACCATCATTCTTTTAATCATTACTCCCTAAGTTATCGTGACCAGCTTGCACATCATAACATACCATCAATCTTGTTTCCTTTACTTAGGTTCAAGACCTTAGTCTCAGAATCAACTACGATGCCTTCCATCTTAATGAAAAATTCTATTCTACGATGACCACTTTACCCCCCCCCACCCCACCCCACCCCACAAAGGGTCTCACACTGCTTGACTGGCGATTATTCCTTTTTCAACATCCAATCTCGGATGATCTGTTCTCTTGTTGGTTCCATCTATGTATTGGAAATCAGTTTCCTATGCACTCCAGAAATTCCTCCTCTACAGTATTGTTACTGATTTGACACTGATATTCATTTTACTAGCCTATCGCTATCTATCTCACACTTCAATGTTTTGTGACATCTGCAAATTTTGAAGTTGTACCTAACTTTCAGTCATTACAATACTCTGAAAAGCAGTGGTCCAGGTACTGGCTCCATAGGAAAATCATTTTACTCCTCCCCTCCAGTTAACAAAAATCATTTTTCTCCACAACGGTTTCCTGTCACATTACCAGCTGTCACTTTCTCTTTATACCAACTCCAACTTTGCGAGCACGCCAATCGTATAGCACTTTAGAAACAGTTTTTTGAACTCTATATACACTACAATACTCATGACCTCAGTTTCCAACAAGCTCCAAACAAGTGTTATAAGACTGACTTGCCTATCCTTTCCTGGTCAGTACTCTTCAATGGTATAACGTTAGCAACTCTCTGGCACAACTATGATGTTCTATGAGGACTGAAAGATTGTGACCAATGTTTCTGCTTTCACTATCAAAAGCTAAGGACGTATTACGTCTGGACTAGGTGATTTACCAATCTGTAGAATATTGCTTGATCCACTGCATGTTTCCAGTATTTTTCATATGAAATGAACCTTCCATTAAAGAGAACCCAAAGTCCCTACCTTGGAGTTCAGGCCAGATTTTAGTCTTCCAGGTGTCAGCACATACAATAATCATCAGACCGAATGCAATGAGGAATACAAGCCTCAGTGAGGTTAGTGCCAGAAACCTGCAAAAGAGGAAAGAAAGTGAAAATGTTAGTAGCTTGCTGAACTGAAATCAGTTCCTAAATATCAGATCACCACTTGCATTCTGGAGGACTTCCCATGTCTTAACTTGTGGGTCAGAACTAAAAACAGAGCAGAAGGGAAAAGAATGATGATACAGAAAGAACCTTCAGCCCATGATGTTGCGCTGAACATGACACCAAATTAAACTAATCCCTTCTAACTGCTCTTGGTGCGTATTCCTCCATTCCTTGCATATTCATGCACTTATCTAAAAGTCTCTTAAACGCCACTCTTGTATCTGCCTCCACTACTACCCTGGCAGCACGTTTCTCACTCCAGCCACACTGTGTAAAAAAAACTTTCTCCCTCTCACCTTAAATGCACGCCCCCCAGTCTTAGACATTTCACCTCTGGAATAAAAAGATTCTGGGCATCAACCCTATCTATGCATCTCATAATTTTATAGACTTCCATCAAGTCACACCTTAGCATCCATTGCTCCAGAGAAAACAACCCGAGTCCCGAAACATCAGCTTTCCTGCTCGTGTGATGCTGCCTGGCCTGCTGTGTTCCTCCAGCTCCATACTGTGTTATCTCTGACTCCAGCATCAGCAGTTCTTACCATCTCTGAGTGAGTTATAACCCCACTGCGAAGCCGCCCCATTTCTGAAGAAGAGTCCCGACCTGAAAAGTCAGTTTTTCTGCTCCTCTGATGCTGCCTGGCCTGCTGTGTTCCTCCAGCTCCATACTGTGTTATTTCCGAGTTTTTTGAGCCTCTCCTGATAATTCATACCCTCTAATCCAGGCAGCATCCTGGCAAACCTCTTCTGCACCAGCTCCAAAGCATCCACATCCTCCCTGTAATGTGGTGACCAGAACTGAACACAATACTCAATGAGTGGCCTATCCAAAGTCTTATAAAGCTGCAACACGACATCCTGACTCTTGTACTCAATTCCTTGACCAATAAAGGCAAGTATGCCATGTACCTTTTTTACCACCATATCTACTTGCGTGGCCACTTTCAGGGAGTTATGGACTTGAACTCCAAGATCCTCCTGTACATCAGTGCTGTTCAGAGTCCTGCCATTAACTGTATACTTTTCCTTAACATTTCATCTCCCAAAGTGCAGCACCTCACACTTACCTGGATTAAACTGCATCTGCCATTTCTCCATTCATATCTGCAACTGATCTACATCGCGCTGTATACTTTGACAATCTTCTACATTATCCACAACTCCACTGATCTTTGTATCATCTGCAAACTTACGAACCCACTCATCTACATTTTCATCCAAGTCATTTATATATATCGCAAACAGAAGTCCCAGCACAGATCCCTGCGGAACACCACTGGTCATGGACCTCCAGGCTGAAAAGCACCCTTTCACCACTACCCTCTGCCTTCTATGGGCAAGCCAATTCGGAATCCATGTGGCCAAAGGTCCTGAAGTTTTTCAGAGAACGAGTTTCTCAGGGGTAAAAAATAGAGCATAGAGGTGTTATTAATTGTCTTAAGAAAGCGGACTCTTGAAACAATCATATTTTTCTCATTTCTGGATTGGATCTGAAAGTTGCAGTTGAGAATTTAACTTTGAACAGCAGCTTGTTTCAAAAATTAAAACAAGAGACTGATGTTTTCTGCTGGCAACTGGCTTGTAACGATGAAGCAGGTTAATTATTTTCTAAGAACACTATAAACAAATTGGCACAAAGATGTCATTAGGCTCAGGGAATGGCAGCTGGTCAGATGTTGAATTGGTCAATGAAAGGCGGGCCTGTGCTAGCCAGCCAACCACAGAGGACAGTGAAGAAGAAAGAGAAACCAAAGGGTGAACTGCTTTTGACTGGGAATTTGGGCAGGAGCAGAACTGGGTTTTTTGTTTTTTTCTCTCTGGTTATCAACGTATTGAAAGTCCTGGGAAAAGAACCCCAGTCTACAAGAAATCAGGAAAGGTCTCCAGAGGTCTGCAGAAGCTGTTTGTATTGACTGATGGTTTCGGGATTCAAGCAAGGTACAATCCAATGTGCCTGTAATACACCTTGTTGTCTCTGTAATACAACCTGTCAGGTTTCATGAAGGTTTGATATTCACTGTCAAAACGGTTATTGAACTTCAAAGTATGGAAATTTACAGTCATTTTATATTATAAAATATTTATCCCTAAATGGAGTCCTGTTTGTCTGTTGGTGAGAGAATGGGCATTGGCATTCAAAGAAGATTGGGCTTAGATTGTAGATATTAATCAGATTGCCTTGTAGTTTATCTGTTTTCTGCTAAAGTTACATTATTAACAATAAATTGTTACTTTTTAAATTATAAGATTGATGTCCAAGATTTGTTATTTGTAGAGGTTGGTTTGGAACAATCAAGCAATTTTGAGGGTAATCAAATGCTTTAATTTCACTATGTTACAAATCCAATGTTAGCAACTATGAGATAACAAGGTGTAGAGCTGGATGAACACAGCAGGCCAAGCAGCATCAGAGGAGCAGGAAAGCTGACGTTTACGGGCCTAGACCCTTCTTTACAAATGGGGGAGGGGAAGAGGGTTCTGAAATAACTAGGGAGAGAGGGGGAGGCGAATAGAAGATGGATAGAGGAGAAGATAGGTGAAGAGGAGACAGACAGGTCAAAGAGGCAGGGATGGAGCCAGTAAAGGTGAGTGTAGGTGGGGAGTTAGGGAGGGGATAGGTCAGTCCAGGGAGCGGGATGAGGCTAGTAGGTAGGACATGGGGGTGGGGCTTGAGGTGGGAGGAGGGGATAGGTGGGAGAAAGGACAGGTTAGGGAGGTGGGGACAAACTGGGCTGGTTTTGGGATGCAGTAGGGGGAGGAGAGATTTTGAAGTTTGTGAAGTCCACATTGATACCATTGGGCTGCAGGGTTCCCAAGCGGAATATGAGATGCTGTTCCTGCAACTTTCGGGTGGCATTGTTGTGGCATTGCAGGAGGCCCTCTGATGCTGTTTGGCCTGCTGTGTTCATCCAGCTCTACACCTTGTTATCTCAGATTCTCCAGCATCTGCAGTTCCTACTATCTCTTAGCAAGTATGATTTGGCCTGGCTTGCTATTAACTTGTTCAGAGACGCTATTACACACCTCTGGAGCAGGTGAGACTTGAACCCTGTTCTCCCTGGTCGATGGGTAGGGACACTATCACTGCACCACAAGAGGGCCCTAATCCCCAGATCATGAAAGATTAACACTTATTAGTAACCTGTGAGAGTTTAGGCTGAGGACTAGCAACTGATTTAACATAACAACATGACCAACAATTCAGTTAAATGTCTGAAACAAGGCCCTGTTGCCTGGTACGTCGACAGTCAAAGAATCTTTGCCTATTTTAACACTGTTTGGCCAACAGTAATGAAAGTTTAGTCACTGGAATTCAGTTTGCAACTCCAATTCTTCATAACATCAAATACAGATTTTTACCTGATAACACAGCATGACAATAAATAACTGTAAATGTCAGCAAACAAAACTAAACTTGGATCCAGATAAAGTGACCTTGAGATAGAAGATAAAAAAGAGCAGTAGTCAAAGGATCAAGGAGATAGATTTTGAGGATGTCTTCAAAAGTTACAGGAAGGTTTTAAAAAGAAACCATATTAGGGCAAGAATTTTAGACAACAGACTACATTTTTAGTAAAGATAGACATGGTTAGGAGGAGAGGTGAGTTTATGTGGAAATGTGATTAGAAGTGATTTTGGAGATAGGTTGAGTTAATGCCACGGGTAGATTTCAAAATGAGGATTTTAAAATTGAGGCAGATAGATGGACAATGAAGGTCAGTAAAAATTAGGGTGATGAGATGAGCAAGACATTTTCTTGTGGAAATAAAATCATAACTCTGGAAAGCATCATCCATGTCGAGAAGCAGATGAGGATTTCAGGTTGACCCCATTATTTATAATGGCAGGATCCTTATGTCTTTGTAACTACTTTCTCAAACTACAATGTACATTTAATGATGTGTACACATATACGCCAGTTCTTACAGGTGTGTGCTGGAGCAGCTGGTGTACATCACCAACCTCCAACATGTTACTGTAACATAATAAGTTTTCTTTCAAATTGTGATTTTTGTTAGTGCCCCTTTAATCAGCTGAGTATTAAAGTTGTTTATTGATATAATCAACCCTAGGTCTCTGCTCTTATTCATCGCTACTTTGCCCTTACAGTTTATTTCCTCTCTATTATCTTTTTCGTCCTTCTTTGCTGGATTCTGAGTTTATCCCAGTCTTTGGAACGATCATTGACTTTTACCACCTTGTATGCTTTTTCTTTTAACTTAATACTCTCCTTAAGTTCCTTGGTTAGTCATGTACCTCCTTTAGAACTATATTCTTTAAATAATATCACCTATCCTCATTATCGCTATCAAAACATATCACTGCATCTTTCACTACATTAAATTTAATCTGTTGCATATCTGCCCCTAAATTTTAGTGAAGTCCATCATTATTTCCCTTACAGTTCAGAATACTTATGTGATACATATTAATGATTTAGAGGCCTAAGTGGAGTAGTTTACAGATTATACAAATTGTTGACAGTGAAGAAATAGGTAAGTGATATTACAGAAAAGTGGCAAATGGAATGTAGATGAGATAATGCCTTTAGGAAGGAAGAAAGCCAAGGAAAAACACAATAAAAGAAATTATTCTAAGCAATGTAGAGGAACAGAGGGAGCTTGGAGTGCATAAGGTAATGCGACAGGTAGATAAACTTGAGAAGCAGGTGTCCCAAGTATGCTTTCTCGTGGATACTCAGAATGTAGAGCAGGGAGGTTATGTGGAAACAATGCAAAACACAAATTATGTCAGAGTAAATCGCTGCAAATACTTAGGTTTTTCAAACATTGGTGACCCAACACATTTAATGCCAATTTCCTAATTACAAATGCTGCCTGACTTGCTGAGTATTTTCACCATTTTCTGGTTTTACTCTTAGGTTAGGACTAAATAGCAAGGCGAGAAGCCTTAGAATATAGGTCAATATAGATGGGCTGGTCAAACGGACTGAAATTGGCAAAGGGAAATTAATCTGGAAAAGGGAGAGGTGATGCATTTTGGGAAGACTAACAAGACAGGGAGAAATCTTTCACCTTGGCAGTATCCAATAACCAGGAAACACTGTTTTTAACAACAACAACAATTTAACACAGTTTTTAAGGCATTTTCGAAGGGACTTCAGATTTTTTTTCACCTAGAGTGTGGTATGTGGAACTCACTGCTAAAAGAGTGGTATAGGCAGGAACCTCCAAGATTTTTAAGAACAATTTACATGAACGCTTGAAACGCCATAAAATTCAAGGTTACCGGCTAAATGCTGGGAAGTCGGATTAGAATAGATGAGTGTTAGATGATCGGCACGGACACGAGGGGCCTCTTTCTGCGCTGTAAAAACTTCTGCCCTTGACACTAAGGTGTTGGTCCCTGTATTTTTCGGCGGCAGAGAGAGGGGCCGATGGCCATAGAATCCCTTTTCCAATCAACAACACAGGCCTAGCCCCCCCCTTACCAGAAACTGGCGTTGACGCTCAGGTATAAAAACAGGCTGTGCAGCGGCCTCTCCCACACCAACACACTCTGCCAGTAAGTCAGCACGGGCTCGTAGTGACCCAGGATGCGGAGAAGCTGCTGCTGCCGGAGCCGGTGCTCAGACTCGGGTTGTGGAGCCGAGGCTGATGCCCGGTCGCTGCCCTCAGGCCCCGCACTCACTCGCTCGGCAGCCATCTTGGTGACGCTCCGTCTGAATGTGAATATTAATAGTCTTTATGAATATTGATAGAAACATATGAATATTAATTATCCATATTTATATCGTTGAAAAAATGTAAATAAGCATCGAATCGGCTCGTGAAGACCGAAAACATAGGTTCAGAAAGTTGTAAAAACACACACGTCCCGGTTTTACTTTGCTGAGCACGCTGTATAAAATCGAGATGAATCTGAGCTGACATTCGGATAAACGAGAATGGATCCGTTTGACAATGTGCCGTAAATGGGCTGCGGTGTTACTCTGCGCATGCTCTATGCGGTTGGCGGGACGAGCGGCGGCGATGCCTCGCGAAATTATCACTTTGCAGCTCGGCCAGTGCGGCAACCAAAGTAAGGCAGAGGCCGGCGGGGAATGGGGCCGCGAATGGTAACGTGGTGGGCGAGTTACTGGGTGTTGTGTGTCGTCTTTAGTCCTGGTGCGCAGGAGGATAGTGCGAGTCCGGTTCGGGCCTGGGATAAGGCCGTAGCGGTCACCTCACTGCCCGTAGTCGAGTTGTTGTCGGTCAGGGCCTATCGTGAAGCGGAGCCCGGCAGAATCCAACAACTGCCCATCGACATTGTAAATATCTGTGGTATACCAGCTCCCCTGGACTCGATACAAACCCTTTCTACTGGGAGCATCTATTCTAAAACTCAACAACAGCCTTTATGTGTAAGACGGATTTAGGACAGGAGCACTGTCTGTCTGTCTTTCACAGGTTTCAAGCAATTAGAAAAGGTTGGTGCAAGTGATTGGGTTTAGATAACAAATTGAAATGAAGTGAAACAAATGGAAAGGCTGCAGGATCCAGCTAGATCAAGGGACAGCCAGAACAGCGGGAAAACGGACAAGATATTGCTATTTCGAATGAAGGGAAATGTGGGACATTGAAATAAATGAGTCTAGAAATGACAAATATTTGAAGCTTGTTAACAGAGCAGATAATGTTTTTTGAGATGAAGTAGCTTTTGTAACTGATACATTCGAGTTAAGTCAATAGTTCGTGACTCCTTCCATCACTTTGATGATGGAGAGTAAACTGATAGTGATACTTGACCAGGTTAGAGTGTTTCCTGGGTTTTCTGGCCAGGACATATCAAATTTCCACAAGTTTGGGTAGATGCAATGCTGCAACATCTACATTCACCTTTAAAACTGCTTTGTTCTTTGTTGTTTTGCAAAAGGGAACCTTTTCCATTAATTTGATCATCATGTGTGGTATGCATTGTTTGGGCATGATTTAAGTTTCCATGCACCATCTTGGCAACATGACACATATTACTTGCCTGATTCCATGTGCGGAGAATAGCCCTTAATGTGTATGAGTTTAAAATAGGTGTTGATTTATATGTTGAATATAGTCCTAAACGTGCATTTTGGTGACAATAAAATAGTCTTGCATGTTGGGTTAATCTGCATGCCACGATTTACATTAAATGTCTTCTATATTGGAATACAGAGTAACATTTTGATATTTGCTGATGATACCAACTTGGAGGTGTGATTGACAGTGAGGATGGTACCAGTTAACTGGAAAAGGATGTAGGCTAGGACAATGGGCTGAGAAGTCTAATGAAATTTAATACCAAGAAATATAAGGTGAGACACTTTGATTAAAAAAGATAAGGTGAGACAATATAGTCTAAATTGCACAGTTCCAAAAAACATAAAGGCATGAGGAACCCGGGATTTGAGTCCGTAGTTCTTTGAAAGTGGCAGGACATAACGAGAGAACAGTTAGCAAAGGTTATAAATATGAGGTAATGAGTGCCTAATCAATCAAATTACTCTGAAATGTGCATAAAGATTGAGTGAGGCTAGAGCAACAATATTGTATTCAATTCTTGCCATCATACTTTAAGAAGAAAGTGAAGATTATTGAGAGGCGGAAAGGCGATTTTTACCAGAAAGTCAGAGGGATTAGGAATTTTGGTGACACGGAGAAGCTAGGGATCTACTTGGAGCAGCAGAGATTAAGGGGGAATTTGATGAGGTATGTAAAAATATGACAAGTTTGGATGATAGAAAAAGGAAAACATTAACTGATGGTAGAGAAACTACCATCATCAACAACTGTGCACAAGATTGGAGGGAGTGGAGATGCTGGATGATTTCAAAAATAAATTGGATATGTAAGTGGAAATAAAAACTTAGAGAAGTATAGGAACGCAGGACGCAGAAACTAATCACATTCTTCCATAGAGAACTGGAATAGACTCAGTGGTCTGAGTGGCTACCTGCAGTATTATAACGACTCTCCTACTCTGTTCATTCCAACCACTTCCTGTGATAGTTCCACATTCCTACTGCTCTCTACGTTTAGAAGTTTAATGAGATGTGGGTGTCAGTTGCTGAGCCTGCCTGGCAGGACTGTGAATATGGTGTCGGCTTTTGCCAGTCTCTCCAGCCTCCTAATCCTTCTTTGGTCTCTCTGGCAGAAAGGCATAGCTAAAATAAGCTCTAAGGTGCATTGCTAAACATTGATCTGATCTATGGATTCTGGTCTTGGTGACTGGATGTACGGAGTTTTGTACAAAGAGACCTAAGACTGAGGGAGATCAATGTTAGTAGAGGAATGGTGCTGGGAAAATTGTTGGGATTGAAAGTTGATAAATCCCCAGGGCCTGATAATCTACATCCTAAAGTATTTAAGGAAGTAGCTCTAGAAATAGCATTGGTGGTCATTTTCCAGGATTCTATAGACACTGGAACAGTCCGTGCAGATTGGAGGGTAGCTAATGTCACTCCAATATTCAAAATGGGAGATAGAGAGAAAACAGGGAATTATGGAGTGGTGAGTCTAACATTGGTAGTGGGGAAAATTCTCGAATTCTTTAAAGGTTTTACAGCAGAGCATTTATAAAGCAGTGGCAGGATCAGACGGAGTCAGCATGGATTTATGAAGGGAAAATAATGCTTGACAAATCTGTTGGAATTCTATGAAGATGTAACCAGTAGTGTTGACAAGGGGGAGTCAGTTGATGTAGTATATTTGGACTTTCAGAAAGCGTTTGACAAAGCCCGATTTAAGAGATTAAAGTGCATGGGATTGTGGGAAGTGTACTGAGATGGCTAGGAAACTGGTTGGCAGAGAGGAAACAAAGAGTAGGAATTAATGGGTCCTTTTCAATTTGGCAGGCAGTAACTAGTGAGGTGCCACAGGGATCAGTGCTGGGACCCCAGCTATTCACAATATATATTAATGATTTCGATGAGGGAACAAAATGGAACATCTCGAAGTTTGCAGATGACACCAAGTTGGGTTGGAGGGTGAACTGTGACGAGGATGCAGAGATCCTTCAACATGATCTCGACAGGTTGGGTGAGTGGGCAAATCAATGGCAGATGCAGTATAATTTGGATAAATGTGAGGTTATTCACTTTGGAAGTAAAAACAAGAAGGCAGATTATTACCTGACTGACTGTAAAGTGGGAGAGGGGAGTATGCAGCAGCACCTGAGTGTCCTTGTGCACCAGTTGCTGAAGGTAAGCATGCAGGTGCAGCAGGCAGTAAAGAAGGCAAATGGTATGTTGGCCTTCGTTGATAGAGGTTTCAAGTGCAGGAGCAGTGATGTGTTTTGCAATTATACAGGGCCTTGGTGAGGCCACACCTTGAATATTGTGTGTAGTTTGGGTCTCCTTTTCTGAGGTAGTATGCTCTTGCGCCCAAGGGAGTGGAGCGCTGATTCTGGGGATGGTGTGTCTGACGTACGAGATCAGATTGACTAGGTTGGGATTGTTTTCACTGGAATTCAGACAAATGAGGAGGGAATCTCAGACTTATAAAATTCTAACAGGACTGGACAGGGTAGATGCAGGGAGGATGTTCCCGATAGTGGGTGTGTCCAGAACTAGGGGTCACAATATGAGGATTCAGGGTAGACTATTTGGGATGGAGATGAGATGTTTTTTCACCCAAGGAGTGGTGAGCCTTTGGAATTCATTACCACAGGAAGTAGTTGATACCAAGACACTGAATGCATTCAAGAGGCGACTAGATATAGCACTTGGGGTGAATGGGATCAGAAGTTATAGGGAGAAAGCAGGCTTAGGCTATTGAGTTGGATGATCAGCCGTGATCATGAAGAATGTCGGAACAAGCTCAAAGGGTCGAATGGTCTCCTCTTGCTCCTATCTTCTCTGTTTCTATACTGTGTTGGCCTGTTGGTACACAGAGATACAGTGATTGCCCAAGATATTTTCTTGAATAAAAATTCTTAGCCATTATCATTAAGGCAATGAGAAAAGTGATGTTGAGGCACATCCATGCAAGCCATGAAAGAAATGAAGAAAACGAGGTATATTCTACCCACCAAACATGAAAATGAGATCAAGGGCCACATTACTTAGTGCAGCATTTTTAATCAATACAAACTGAGCAAACTGAAAATCCACTCATGACATCCTGGACTGACCATGGCTGAAGCTTGAAGTAGACCTCTTCATTCTCTCTGGAACTAATGATCTCAGCAGAATTGTCTGTTATTCAGACTACCATAAATTAGACACTAGCAGATGTGAACAACTGCCTATGAGATCATAGAATGCGTGAAAGCATACCACTTATTCTAGCATTACAGATATTGCTGCCAAAGCAATTCAGTGTTAGGAATTCAGGTCCCTTTAGGGGATCAACCATTACAGCTCCAGAGTTGATTAAGAGCAGATTAATTAGAAAATACCTAACAGCCGGGTTCTTATGGCTCTCTTCTTTGGCTACGTTTGTGTCTGGATGCCCTTAGAGAGGGAGCACATTGTATGTACTGACACCTCAATGCTTTAGAGTGAGGTGGACAATACAGGATAGGGATGCATTCTCTCCCCTTCTAATTCCATTTTAATTTACTCCTTCCCTCTATTCCTATCCTCCCTTACTTTTGTTGTTGTTGCACTGTCCCTGGTGGGTAATGCTTGTTAATTATTTTAATTGGTGAAATGAGTGACTTTGATGGTGGTATCCCAAAAGAAAGAGCTTCATAAAAAAAGCTGGGTTCATTCCCAGTAGGGGCTTAGCTTCTGGACAGGGCAAGGTACAGGAAGGAAAGGTAGAAACTGGGGTTAGTACTAAACTATAGATTTCAAATAAAACTCTTGCAAGTCTATTGCTGCCTATTTCAACATATAGATGTCAATCTGTAAACAATAATGGCTCTCAGAAGATTTTAATTGTTTCATAAACGATTGGGAATTTCAGTATCACGCATCCTGTCCAGTCTGTTTCCGGTCAAAACGAAAGGCAGAAGTCAGTAGAAATTGCCAAGTGATCATTAAAATAGCAATGGTTCCAGCATAGAAATTTATAAAGTAATCTTAAAGTGGAGAAACATACCTACTGTGGGCATAGAAAGACCATTTAGCAATTAGTAATGTGCCATATCTAAACTACAGGTGGTCCCCTTTTATGGATGCCTGACTTCCAAGTACTCTTACATAAGTGAGATCACAAAAGATACAGGATCTGGCGTGTGCACATTTGTTCATACTTGCAGACAGAGGAACAGAGAAGCAACACAACTGTAGTGAACCATATAGTGCCTTTTTGTATACCCCGACCCCTTTTTGAGCACGCTCTTGCATGTGTGTACATGAGTGCAAGCACATGTATATGCTTGGCTGATTGCAGCCTGGCAGCACTGTGCATACAGCATAGGCCTTTGCCAGTGGCTCCGGCCTCCTAATCTTTCTTTGGTCTCTCCCCGAAGCTTGCAGAAAGGCACAGCTAAAATAAGCTCTAAGGT